ATATGACTACCTATTGTGGTGACTACCTATTGTGACGATTGCTTATTCCATTGAGATGACGCTATTCTATATGACTACCTATTGTGTTGACTACCTATTGTGTTGATTGCTTAATCTATGGAGATGACTAGAATCAAACCTTAACACTTTCATGCAAAAAGCTTCTTTCTTCATGGTGTCCTGGCTCTGGATGTTGGAATGGAATATGATAATCAGCACCTAACCTAATGTGACAACCTAGAAAGAACCAATATGGAAGTTGGACGTTAGGTTATGAATTCTATATCGTGAGACCAATGATGATCACTTATTATTCTAATCCACGTAAGAAGAAAAGTTATTTGAAATTAAAATTTTATGCCGAGATAAAGGCATGTTGTAAATTTACTTATTAAAATAACTTAAATGTAAATCAATAATGGACATATTTGAACACATAAAAGCCTTAAAAAATTATTTACTTAATTTCTTAGTGAAATATTGATATTTTTTTTTGGATTTCTTGTATGATGACCAATTTTTGTAAATTAACTAAACCTAAAGATGAATTTTTAGATATAATTAAAAATAAACCATTAAAAATCCTAAACAAGAAGATAAAACTTTAATTTTAAATATTAAAATGTAATTAAAACATGAATTAAAAGGTTTAAATCACATGATAGATTTACATAACCCTTATAAGTAATACTTAATATGATAAAAATGTTTTTGAAATAAAGCTTTTGAAGACAAAAGGTTATGTAAAAATTAAACATCATTATTTTAGAAAAATATTGTGTGAAATTTTAATTTTTTTTAAGAGAGGGAAATGTGCATAATATTGGCATATTTTAACCTCGGAGATTGAAAATAAATAAAAATAATTAAATATTAAAACGCTACTAATTAAATATTAAAACTCTACTAATAAAATATCGCAAAATTTAAAAAAAAAAAGCGAAATTTTATATAATTTTTTTGATTTATCATTCTTATGTTATTCTACATTCCAAAAATTTTATTCCAAATTCTTTTATTCCAAAATTTTATTCCATATATTCAAACTTGATCCTTATAATAATGATAACGTACAGCAACTATTCTAACCTACAAAAACGTATGGACTCATGCCATCAGACAGACTTATGCGCCCTCTGAGCAGCAACTTGATGCTTTGTCGAGGAGGGGAATGTTAATAGTGTTGTTTATTCAAATTTGTAAAATAATTAATTGAGTATTAATTTAAATGTTTTGTTACATATTGTGTTGTTTATTCAAATTTGTAAAATAATTTATTGAGTATTAATTTAAATGTTTTGTTACATATACCAGTATATATACCAGTCGATGATATACATATTATAATTATTTTATTTTTCAAAAGTAGAAATAAAATTTATTTAAAACAAAATACAACTTAAATATTACATGTTTCTTTTAACAAAAATATTATTAATCCATTTAAAATTGTTTTTAAAATAATAATTTAAGAATAAAATTATTTTAATATTATTACTTTAAATTTAAACAAGATTAAATAACTACAAATTAAATAGATGTAATTGAACTTTATTTTTAAGAAAAAGCATAATAATAATTTTGATATATAAAAATTTATAATCTTTTTATCAATATTTGTATATTCATCCAAATTATTCTAATACAACTTAATAATATTCCAAATTATGAATAAAACAAAAATAAGATTAATCAACATATCATTAAACTCAACTTAAGTACAACATAAAATTAACATAATAAAAATCATAGTTAAGCATAACCAGTGACGAAGCGTCAAGTCTACTAGAGAAGTAATCAAAAAATTTGATTAATTTTTATTTATTAGTCAAACCATAAAAAATTAAATATATAAATAAGTAGAATTCGTCTTTTATAAAAGTTATTGCTAGATTTTAAATTTTTTAATAAGTTTTTTTCAACCGAAGTCAAAAATTGAATTAAAATTTTAAAAAATAATTTCTACATTAAACTTATAATTTATTCAGCGGAATATCTATAAAATTATTTTACAAAATTCTAAATAAATTTAAATGAACTGATATCTATATCTATATAGATATAAATGGAAAAAAAATTAATATTTATATCTTTTTTATATATAAGTTTTAATATTATATATATTATATTAGTCTTATTATTTTTATAATATATATTTATTTAAATTATATGCTCTATGAGATAAAATTAGTACTTAAATATTATTATTTTTTAGATAAAAAAGCGTTAAATTAAGGTATATCAAAATATATCTTTAAAAATATCTATAGACAGATACAGATACCTCTGAAGGTATATAGATATAGATAAAGATACTTTTTATACAACTCTGATAATCCTAATAAATTTAATAATATAATTACAATTATTAAACATTAATTGTTGCTGTTAAAAAAGAAAAAAATTTTTATTTCAAAAAAGTAAGGAAAAAAATATAATATAAAAAATTTTTTTTCTAAAAAATAAGTATTTTTTTGCTTCAGTGCTTATTTTTTAAATGCATAATTACACAATACATTGGCATGCAAAAAGATACTTGTATTTTTTGCTAAATGAGAGTATCTTAAAATGCAAGATACTTTTTATAGCATTATTCTTGCCAATTAAATTAGAATAATCAATTATAAAATACATTTTTATTACGGAGAACATTAAAATACGCATATAATAAGATCGGATATTTACAATAATTAATAAAATATTTAAAGACGGTTAATTATAATAATCAGGCATTTTAATCAGAGTTGTTAACGAAAAACAAAGAAATAAAAGATTATATGTAGAATTTTAACACAGAAATTGCGCTTTATTATTTTTTTATTTTTCACATTCATAATTATATATATTAATAATCTCTTAACAAAAACTCCAACTCATTTCATAAAAAATTACACACTGAATAAAATATTACTTTTACAATAAAAACATATTATTAAACGAATAATATCTTTAATTCAACATTTGCAACATTATGAAAGTAAATTATTAAAAAATTGCTAAATTTCATTATAAAGATTGTATTTTTAATTTTTATATGAGCAAGTAATGCTTAATAATTTATTTAAATTATGAGCAAGTTAATTATTAAAAAATTGTTAAATTTCCTTATAATTTAATTTTCAATTTTTATATGAACAAGTTAATTTATAAAATTGTTAAATTTCATAATTGTATATAATAAAAAATTTACTTAGACATTTAATTTGGAATAAAGGTATGGAATAAAAATATTTTACGATTCAATATAGAAAAAAAAATTAAAATAAAAGGGAAAACAACACGTGATTAAATTACATAATAGGATAGGCCATGCATATGAAACAAAAAATTAGTGCTGTGAAGTAACGCCAAAAAAGTAACGCCATTCGTTACCTTCATCTAAAAGTAACGAGTAACGGTAACGCGTTTCTTTTTTTGAGTAACGGTAACGCAAAACGTTACTTTACTCGTTATTTTATATTTTTTCTTAAAAAATATCAATAAAAAAATCATATTTTATTGTTTTATAAAATTACTTTTATTTATTTTTTAATTCTTAATATTAATAATTTAAGCCGAGTTTTAATTCATATCAACCACTTCCAACATTTTTTTTTAAATTCTCATTGTTAAATTATCAGTCGAAATTAATATTCAATCAAAATTTTAAGTAAATATAATGATATTATTAATTAATTTATAATTTATTTTAAAAGAATATTATGTCCATAGTACTTCTTCAGATGAAGAAGATTTAACCCTTCCCTGGCCCCAATATTTTAAACCAATTAAGAAAATTAATGGTACCAAGTCTACACTTTGTAAATGTAAATTATGCCCCATCGCAAATATTTCAATGTCAATGTCAAGTAGCTCAAAATTAAAAAAACATTTGAAGGTAAAGAATGAATTAATATATAATTATTTTAAACTTATAAAAACTTAATCATGAAATGATTTTAAAAAAATTTATTTAAATTTCATTATAGATTTTATTATTAAAATACTATATATATATAGCATCTTATTATTTAACCATGTATTTATTTTAATGATAGTACACAATAAAATAAATTTGAAATGTATAAATTTTATACAGATTATTATATTAAAAATTTATTATACATAAATATTTTTAAAAAAATAAGATTACAATAAAATTTAAGTATTCTTGTTACTCTTAATGGTAGTTAAAAAAAAATATATAATTTAACAATTATATTTATAACTAATACAAATGAGTATATTATCAAAATATAAATGCAACTACCTTTATAAAGCAAACCATATAAATATTATGACTAAGAATTTATTAGAATTAGTTTTGCATATCAAAATTTTAATACTATAAGAACATATTATAATCATATTGTAATTTTATTATAATGCTAGAAATTATTTAAAAGCCCTCAAGTAAAAAAAGTTATATAATATATTTATTAAAAATTTATTAGAGTATATGAACAAGGAGAGGAATCGGATGATGAAATAGTTCTACTGCCATTATTTGATCTATTTGAAAATCAAAATATTAATGATAGTATTGTATACTTACCTAAGCATCATTCCTGTTCAGTACACACTTTAAATCTTATGTATTGACACTGAAAAGGCACTCAAAATTCCTAGCTACGCCACTGAGTACATCACTGAATATAATATAGCATGTATTATAAAACTAAGAAATAAATAAGTTAAGATTAAATATTTCCGATTAAATCATACACCAACATACATGCGATATATTTTTAAATCTTGAATTGTAATATTGGGATCTGGGAAATCCTAAATGATTTTATTACTGTATAATATATATATATATATCTCATCCTTTTCAACTAAAAATCATCAGATTCTTTTTATAAAACATGAATTCACTTAAATTATAATGTATATTTTATTTTAATCTGACCGAAATTTTTAATTTAATATAAAAGATAGGAAATAAGGCGTTAAAAGAATACATTATTTTAATTATTATTATAGAATTTGAATTGAGATACCCATTTGTATGACTTGTCTAACATTTTAGTTTTATTTATAATATCTATCCAATTATAAACATTCTGCTAAAAATCGATTTATAATTAACATGGTAATTAAAGTTTATGTTTCTGGATCATCTGGAAATAAAGCAGTAACTAATATAATTTCAATACTTTAAATAATATTATTAAATAAGATATATATAGTCTTTTTCTTTAACTTTATTTAGGTTAAAGCTAATCAAAGAAAAGCAATTGATTTTTTAACAGCATTGGGTGTTAAATTAGATATAGTGGATATAAGTCAACCAGAATTAACAGAAGAACGAGATACAATGCTGGCTTCATGTAAATCTGGAACAAATGATAATGGAAAGTTACCATTGTGCCCTCAATTTTTTAACAGTGATTTATATTGTGGAGTATATATATAAAATTTTTATATCATAGTTTATATTTTTTATTAAGGAATATTCTGATTTTGATGTAGCATTAGAAAATGACACTATTACTGAGTTTTTAAAATTAAAAGAATCTGATATGGTTGAAGGAAAGCCATTACCTCCACATGTAAATATTTTTTAGATATAAATTTTGCATGCTAAAAAAATGTGTTTTATTTTCTTTTTAGAAAGTGCATCGCTACTTCTCTATTAATAATAACTATGACATTTCTTCCCAAACTGCCATTGAATTAAAGCAACAATAACTGCATTTCATATTTGCCAACCACTTGCTTATTGTATTTAACAGAATGTTTTATCTATTAAATATTTGATTATTAATATCTAAGCACCACAGGTATTCTTATCATACATTTTTTAGGGAAATATTTTTTTAATAAATGATTATTTATATAAACATGACATAATTTGGTTTGATATGTTTTAATTATTATTATTTTTTTTATAGAAAATTATATTTAAAAAAAAATATTTATTAAATTTTATATAAAAATTATAATTTAATCTTTATAAAAATAATCAAAAATATACCACTAAATAATGAGAAAAGAAAAGCCCCATATTAATTTTTCTAAAAAAAAATAAATAGTTGATGACATTCCCAACAAACCTCTTAATGTATTCATTCACTTATCATTGCCTTTTGTATAATTATTTATTGATATGTAATACTAATTATTTAATTTAAAAAAAAATTGTTTCATATCCACATCTTCAATTAAATATTTTTATACATTAATACAATATCTTATCTTGAGATTTTAAACAAATTATCTTTTTATTACATTTTTATATTGCAATTACTGTGATGAGTAATTAAAATAACATAATTCTTTTTTTTATATAATTTTTTTTTGCCTTGTGGGTGTTTTTTTTAAAAAAAATAATTTGTATTTTCCATTTTTTTTTTATTTACCTTGAAAATATTCATATTAAATATTAATGAATTTTTATTATTACTAAATAAATAAATAAAAAATAATAAACTAAACTTTAACAAACTCAGATTTTGGGGGAATTTTCTTTTTCCTATCAAAAATTAAATCAGATAGTGGGCATGTCAACTTAATTTTTATAAATATATTTCTTTACTTGTATACTAATTAGATATTATAATAAATAAAATATTAACTATATAACCGGGGGGGGGGGATTAAGCTGCTAATTTCGCTTAATCTAAAAGTGTGTATTGAATAAAATTTGTTAAGTAAAGTGTGAGGCTATTTATTCTTTCTTCACACTTGGGCTTTATTTTCAACAATAAAAATTGAAATTTAAGGATTCATTTTCGGCCAAAAAAATAGGTTTTAGCCGTTTTGAGCAATTAACTAAAATTTTTAATCATAATTATTATATTTTAAAAATATTAAGTTAATTTAATTATTTTTTAAAAAAAAAATGAAACAATAATCCGATTGGTCTATTTTTTAAAAAAATATCTAAAATCACCGATTCCTATTCGATACTAATTTTTTTTTTTTAAAAAAAAAGCTGTAAATAATCGCGATAAAGAAGAGATTAATTTTAGTATGGAAGTGAAAAATTTCATTGAAATGTTACGATGTTTTATTTATTAAATTTTTAACAAGAAATCAATAAAAAAAATTTAAAAATATGATGAATAATTTTGTATAATAGTTTAAGTTTGTAAGAATCGTGACATTAATAAATATGAAATATTGTATAGAGGATATTTTAACTTTTTTATAAAATATTAAAGTGTTATAATGAAAACATTACTACTTTACTTAATATGAAAAATTCAATTTATAAAAATGAACAAATAAATGTGATACTGATAACTTTCCATTCATTCTTATTTAAAAAAAAAAATATATATCTACAAAATTCTTATATATTTTAAAAAAAATTTAATTGATTAAAATAGTATGGAAATTAATTTAAATGAATCGAAACAAATATAATTAATTAATATTTATTGTTTAAAAAATAGTAGTAGTAGAGTAAGTTATTTTATAAGATCAAGAGCGAATTATCAGTTAACTGTTGTCGGATTGGCTAATAACCGTCGGTATCAACTTGTTGATAATTTCCGGTCAACTTCTATAAAAAACTGTTCGATTTGAGCCGATTTTTAAAATCAGGTGATTCAATATTTTAACCAGGAAAATATTGGCTAATAAACCTCGAGATCAAGAGATGTCCAAACCTTTGTGCCATCTATGAGCAAAATTCTTCAGGGCTCGGGTAATATTTTTCTGGACAAAAGTCGACCCTTAAACAACAAGCCAGTCGCGCTATATTGCGAATCATATGCTTTTAGCTATAAATATAAATAGTAAAATGAAAATATATGTTAAAAAATGATCATTTTAAAATTAAAACTGGAAAAGGTTTTTTCATTGTCGGTATAATATAGTTGACTTAAAGCGTTATAGTCAAATCCTCGTTATCTTGATGCATTTTTTGATTGAATTTTTTTAAAATGTCTTTAATCGAATCTTGAGCCTAATGGCATAGGCTTTGCAGTCATATAATATGCATTAGGAAAGTCGCCATTTACCTTAATTTTCAAAGTGGTCAACATATTTGCATGATAACTAGACCCTTATCAGCCGAAACAATTTTTTAATAGCAACCATTTTGGAAATGTTTGTAAAGGAATCGGAATAAACTTAAACATATATTAAACCTATAAAGTGAAATGAGTCATTCACATTTTTTTTAATGATTCAAATATTAATATTATATGGTAAACAATTTTTTATCCACCATTTTTAGATAATATCGAATCGGCCAATTTTACCATATCCGGAATAACCGACATTTTTAAAAAGATATATAAAATCGGCGCATGCGCCAACCCTAGCGATAGAATTTGATAAGCGAGATTATCTATAACACTAATATACTAAGTAATCTTTATTTTTTGAATCTTACATAACAAATTGAATTTTCTTTTGTCAATTTGTTATTTTTCTTAATAACCAAGTTTATTATTTAATTCATATTTTCGTTGACCTTTTTTAAACAAATAGGAAATTATTATTTTTTATGTTTATTTTTTATATTTAAATATATTGTGTAATATTTGTTATCTTTCCTCTTTTCTATTTTTAAAACGGATTTTTTTTTGTCAAGCATTATCATGTCTATTTGTGTGCTTTATTTTATTGTGTATGCTTTAATTTTTTTTTTTTCATGGACTAAAATGGTCTTATTAGTTATCTAGTTTTCATGAGATAAATAGCTTTTAAAATAAAATAAAATTTTTTTTATATGAGTTATTAAATAGTCCTATAAATAAAGGCGTTTATCGGAGCGAACTGCTCGCGTTTTTTTGGTGGATGGGCAATAATCAAAAAGCGCTTTACACATTTGTCACAAACTTTTTCATCGCTATTGATAAGTAGCTTCTTTTTCCCAAATGGGAACGTTATTATAAGCAGGTTTGCTATATTGTACTAACGGGATAGTATGTTTTTTTTTAAATGTGAATATTTTCTTTTTCAATCTTATTGCCTTGTAATTTTGCTTTTCGTGTGTTTTCTTTAAAAAAAATAATTAAATCTTTTTTTACGAATATTAATTATTATTTTTTTGCTTATTTTATAACCTTATTTTAAAATATAAATGAAAGAGAATAAAATTCAACAGACGTTCACAATATTTAACTCCTTTAAAAAAATATTTGTTATGTTTTAAAAAGATGCCTGAGTAACTTTTCAGTTTTACTGTAATACTTTTTAAAAATTTGAATAATGTTTTAACGAGGTATTTTTTTATTTTATTTATTATTTCGGTTCGGAAAATTATGTTTTTAAAAAATAATGTTAGGATTGGCCGGATATTGAGAACCAGGAGAAAGATGAGGCTGCTGTTATGACAGAAATAAAGGTCAGCGAGCAGAACGGCGAAACTAAGACGGAGGAAGTTCGAGAAATTGGTAAAGAAATTTCCGAAGAGAAAAAATATGTCATAGAAACGCGGGAACAGAACAAAACGTCTGAAGTAATTAATGGAGAAGAAAATAATAAAACAAACCTCGGAGAATTGATCGATTCCAAATTTAACGGTAACACGTTGGAAGCAGATAGAAATTTCAAGAAAAATGAGATAAAGATCGGTACTGACTCAAATAAAGATTCGAGTTCATCTTCCGATTCGAGTAGCAGTTCTTCCCCCAGTTCATCGTCTAGTGAATCTAGTTCTTCTTCCTCGAAACCCTCTTCAACTAGCCGTGCTAATGCTGACGATGTAAAGAAAAAAATAGTTATCCCTGCCGATAAAAATGTTGGGTCTAAAGTATCTGCGTCGGCTTCTTCGAAAATTGGTGACAGTATTAACTCGAGCAAAAAGGAAGTCAATGCGCCTGATATTAAAGCTCTTCCGCTTGGCCCGCTCAGCAAAAAGGAAGGCGATGATGATGTAAAGAAAAAAATGGTCGCCCCTGCCGATAAAAAGACTAGAATTCCTGAGTCATCTTCTAAATTAAATTCTTCGACTCCCAAGGATGCGTCAAAAATATCGGCGTCAACGACTCTAAAAACTGGTGGTGACAGTCGTAACGCGATCAAAAACATAACCAATACGCCTATTAAAACTGTTACCCCTAGTCAGCTCATCAAAAAGGGGGGTGATGATAATCTAAAGAAAAAAATTGACATCCCCGTCGATAAAAAGTCTAAGATTCAGGAGTCATCGTTTAAATTCAATTCTCCGACTCCCAAAGATGCATCGAAAACATTGGCGCCAACGACATCAAAAATTGGTGGTAATTGTGGTATTGCGATCAAGAACAAAATCGATACGCCTAAAAGTAAAACTGCTCCTCTTAGTCAGCTCAGCAAAAAGGTTAAACCTAACGACGGTAAAAGTGCCGAAACGTTGAAAGATAAGCCTCCTTCGTCTAGTTCATCCAGTACTTCTAGCGACAGTTCCAGTACTTCCAGCTCCTCGACTTCATCCGATTCCAATTAATACAAACATTTTATAAATAAAATTTGAATGCATAAACAATCATACCAAATACCAACCAAAGATCTTGCCTTTATTATATTTATATTATTTTTTAATTTAAACTCATTTAACGAAATAAATAAAATATAATTAATAAAAAAATATATATTTAAAAATACGAAACATTATTTTTAAATATATATTTAAAAAAAAAAATTATACATAATATTTATATATTTTATATAATAATATTTAAAAAAATATGAGTTCAATAAAATTTTGTTATAATTAAATATAACCAGAAAAAAATATATGATTAATTTTATTTTTAAATGACCTTTTATTTTATTTTATTATATAATATTGATTTTTTGGTGACGGATTTTGGTAGATATAATCAGTGGGCTATAAATTAAATATAAAGGTTTGGTTTTAAGAAAAGATTTCTAGAAGAAGTATAGTGTCAGTTTTCAAAAAAAAAGTAGCTTAACCCTGTATTAACAGTTAGCGCTAAATTCGAATTCGCGGCAAGATATACAAAAATACGGCATATTTTTTATTACCTCGCCGCCAATTCGCGCTAGTTAATGCAGTGTAAGTTACGATAATTAAAGTATTTCGCCCAAAATGAGCAATAATCTTTGAAGATCAACAAAATGAGAGATTTAAAAAAGAGGAATAATCGTTCATTTATAAAAAAAAATTTTATTTCAATCAAGGGAGATTTTTTTATATATAAATGACAAAAGATTTAATTCTGGGCAAAATTTTAATATTTTGAGCAGTTTATTTAAAAAAAACAGTATTACTTTCTGATACTTGGAAAGCTATTTTAAGATTTTTATCTTCTCCACAGATTGGCTAAATCTTGGCTGATTAAGTATAAAAAAAATTATTAAGATGTTTGCAGACTATCCTTCAATTCCTTTCGTGTCATTTACCGTTTATTCATATCTTTTGATTATCATTAAAGAAAGATAGTAATTTACTAAACAGCGGATAAATTTTATTAAACAATATTTATATATTATATAAGCCTTACCCCACATCTGGTGACCCTGTTAAGTTTTAACCATACCATAACCTCGTCTAAGAGGTTGGTGTAGTACCTTTCGGGATCGAACTATGAACTTGCTGATATCAACCTTCTAACTATACACCTAAAACGATTTACTCGATATTCGATTCATTTTACGAATAACAATTATTCGATAATAGAATAATAAATAAAAATATATTATTACATCGAACTATCGTAAATATTTCGCTTATTATTTTTTAAACTTCATTTCTACATCTAAAAATCGATATTTAAAAGGACCTAATTGAATCGAATGTTCTTACTTGTACGAATAAGGAATTATTGGATTCGTTTTTTATAGGTATATTTCTAAGTACAATTGTTGATTTTTTTGTATTACTTTACTTCGTTCTATTACCACTAAATTAATATACAAATTTCGTATTGATGTTATTAAGCGTAAATGTCCAAGTTGCATAAAAATTTGGTAACTAAATTTTAAAATCATGTTTTTCGTATATTTTAAATGAACCCATGCGTTATGCGAATTTCGTTTTAAATGCTTGAACATATGATTACTAATTGTTGGAGTATGACCAAAATCAAATTCTAACGCTAAATTTAATATTAAAAAAAGGAAGTTGGTAACACTAAATCTTAAAATTACAATTAATTTTTGACATTATACATGGATGTAACATCAACACGTGAATAAATTTAAATTATGACTTCATATAAAATATTGCCAAAATTTCAAAAAAATATCTTTTTTTTAAAAAAAAGATAATTTAAAATAATGGCGAAAATTTATTTTTTATTGAAATAAAATACAAAACAATTTGAATCACGTGGTTCTTCTCTTTCTTTATAATATTGAATGCATTTGCATTACAAACTATACATGGAATTTAAATTTATAATATCGAATACGACAATCGAAAATTACAAGAATTATAACATTCTTCTTTTTTTAAAAAAAAAAAATTATTTAAAATGAGTATTCCTTTTTTTTTCTTCTCTCTTGTGCGTTGTTTAGCACTACTGCATACTATGGCGAAATATGTGACATCATAGAATTAAATTAGTCGATGGTATATTTAAGTTACGTTTTGACGTTGAATTGTGAGTCTATACCTTTACCAAGCTTTCTAAGGCTATAAAGTAGGGAATTGATGATACCTTTATAAATTATAATATAGAAAATGTATAACAAACATACATTATGAAGATCATTCTGAAGGAACACTAGACTGTTATAATTAAATATAAACTGTGGATCCTCATTCTATGTAAAAAAAATATATATATGAAAATGCAAGAGCTTAAAATTGCCAGGGCTGTAAAATAATGTAAGGCCTCTATAGCATATAAATTAGCCTAATTCTAAACTTTTTTTAAAAAAAATTGATACATAATGGCCTGACCCGTAAAAATATGCGCGAGTTGTCCAGCGCCACCTGAAAATATACTTACTTTTGGACTTCGGTCCACTCCGACCGTTACATCAAATACTCTCCTTTTCCTACCTTATTTCCGTTAATATGATGATAAAAATTGTTAAAAAAATAAATTTCACTACCTGTTGTGAATAGACCCTTTAAACTTTGCTTAGCGCTTGATATTAACACTATGCGTCTTAAACCTAATTTATTTTTTTTAAAAAATAGAAGACACTTGATTAGTATTTTTCAAATAAAAGTTTATTTCGCGGTATAATACGCTCCGCTTATAATGTTCATCAAGTTGAAATAGTTGAAAACCGATATACATTATTTCTTTAGTATATTCTTTATTTCTACTTTAGGCTCCCTTGTTTTTAGGAACCAATAAAAAGAGGGGAACGTTATTATCGGATTCTATAAAAACTATTTAATTGTTAAAATAATTACATTTATTTATGTATACTGGTAATTAGGGCCATTTTACCATCAGTGAAAAACTCTCTTCCAATGAAAAGAGGGGAACGTTATTAAACGAATTTTATAGAAACTATTTATTTGTTAAAATAATTACATTTATTTATGTAAACGGGTAATTCGGGCCATTTCGCCATCAGTGAAAAACTCTCTTCTTGATCATACATTTTACGAAATTTTCGGATAAATTCTCTTTATATTTATTTATAAAAAAAAATGAAAATTTTTAAATTAAGAAATAGAACATTATATTATTTGGATTTAACTTTGATTTTTTACTTGTGTAGCAAATAGGCTAAATGGGATGGTAACTGATTCAAGTGCGCAAATATGACGTCATCCCTGGTATCTTGCTAATAATAAATGTATAGAATATAATAGGGTGTATAACTGTTAGAGCACTATATGAAGCTTGTTAGAACAGGTCCAGTCCCCAGATGTCGGTCGGAATTTTAACAAAATTGTTAAAGCGAATTTTAGTATGTCCGATATAAAATTAGAGCCCTCCAGTGAACCAGTTCGCCGGATAGACATTCTTTTTGGACTCAGCATAGACATATATATTTTTTATTCGGACACAAAATATTAAAATTTCGTTTTACCCACTTTTATAATTATTTTTTTTTCATACTTTCCTTGAGCGCTAAAATCAATTTTTTACGAAATTTTCATAACTTATAATTGTTTCGGCTAGGATCTATTTCTACAGATCGGGGCTGGAACGAACTCAGATCTTCAATAACAAAAAAAAAGTCAGGCAAGGTTAGTCAGATAAAAAAAATTGAAGGTTAATTAATGATTTCGGATTACTTCGAAATGTGTCAAATCATTATTGGCGTGTAGATAGGGCTTGAATTGATTCGTTATAAGATCCTTATAAAGAATTTTGAATTCCGATTTCTGTTTGCCAACTATGTTGTTAATTTTGTTGACGTCCTCCGCAAAATACATCCTAAAATCTCCTAATTATTTTTTTTTTAAAAAAAAGATGTCAAAAAAAAATCAGGGATCCCAACCGTAACATAGGTTCGAGTACAGATAAAAAAATTGTCCAATTTGACATCATTTTTATGGGCAATTGTTCTATTTATGCATTTATTTAGCATATCAGATCATTACAAGTAATATTTTAAAAATATTTAATACGTATATTAAATTGACCAATCAGAAAAGTGGACGAATTTACGCTCAAGTGACTTTACGATCATTAGACAGACAAAATTAAGATTTTTCGAATTCAGATTTCTCTTCGTAAAAAGAAAAAATGAATAAATAATAATATAACTATGAATGCAGGATTAGAAATCAGCATCCCAGCTCATGGGCCGGGCTGGGTAACGTCTGTAAATTATTCTAAAGACATAATTTTATTAAACTATATTTTTTTCTATTTTACTTTATAATTTTGAATGATTAGATGCTGCTATGACTGATCATTCATTTCATAAATTCCATTATTTTTATGATAAAATTGCTTCAATAAAAAAAATCATTAAACCTTGAATTCTCAACATTGGTTATGTATTCCGGTGGGTATAATTTTTGGAATTTATAAAAATGAGTATAAAAAAATTGGAACTGAACCGGGTACAAATTTTGACGGGTCAGGCAAAAAACTAAATCCAGACTGGGCCTGAAATTTTGCTATTTGCAGACCTTTTACTTATATACGCTAACTTGGGTAGCTGCTGGCATTGTCAAATATCTAAAATGGTGATCAATACACTGATCGATAAAAATTGATGGGCAATAATCTTTAAAACAGTTTTTTTTTTAAATCAAAGCCATCAAAGGGCTGGGAGAAAAACAAAATAAAATAGAATTTCAATTCGTTGATTTTTTTTTATTTCAAAAATAAAATCTATTTATTTAATTAAATCGAGATTATTTTTTTTTAAAAAAATTAAATCAAATTTTATAATACGAATTATTTCAAAAAGGATCTGGAGAAAAATAAATCTTGATACAAAGTTATTAACGGAATATTTCCTGGTTAATATATTAATAACACATCGTTAAATTAAGGTTGAATCGATTTAAAAGTATTTTTAATCATAATATTATCTATAATATTTAATATTTTTTTCCCATTTATATGGTTTATAATTAAAATGTTAAAGTTTAAGAATGTTATATGCGTATTCAATAAAATTAATTATTTTTTTTTAAACGTAAATTATTTATTGCGCCTGAATTAATCTTAATGTTAATATCAACAAAAATAATATTTTTATTTTTTTTTGTCGAACGATTTAACGATGTTCTAACAACAACAACAACAAAAAGTGTATACTTCTCCTCGAATTTGCGCTAAATGTGAATGCAGGGTTTGGTCTTATTTTTGCAAAATACGGCGATGTCGCCCGAGCGATGAATTTACAAAAATCCATGCTATCGTTTAGCAAGAAAAATAAAGCATCGTTTTTGAACTAAAAAATCTATATTTGTGCGATTATTGATAAACGAGGCCCTCACACACTTTTTCTAGAATTCGTTGCGCGCTGCGCGTAATTTGAGTAAAAGATTCGTTTTTAGTTTATTAAACATTTATTAATTTTAAAAAAAAATTGAAATAATAATTTTTTTTTAAAAAATTACTTCGAAGTTGAAACAAGATTGGAAAATTATTATTAAGCATCGGTGGAATTATAAATAAATTTATGTTTTAAAAAAATAATAATTATAATAGACTTTCCAAAGTCAAGCATCGAAATGCTCTTCAAAATAAAGATAAAAAATCTTCGCCCATTTTTGATATATTTGAGAAAAGTCTCAAATAAAATTTTTAATTTTACACTTTATAATCCTAAAATTTTGTGATTATTAAAAAGATTTTCGGCATAAAAATAAAGAAACCTTGGAAGATTATTTTTGTTTTGAACTCTGAATGAGAGGTCTTTAATTCAAAAAACCCATGGTCTTCTCTCCTAATAAAATGGCACGATTCAATCTTTATTTAGCATATATAGCCTAAACTCTAGTGTTGTTTAAAAAAAAGGGCCAGATTTGTGTCGATTTTTGAAAACAGCCCGATTAAGATTTTAACCAAAATAATATTCTGTTAAAACCTGGAAATTTTGCTCATAAATGGGAGACAACGTGATATTATTTTGGCTAAAATTTTAATCGTTCGGGCTTTTTTTATACAACACTTACTAAACTCGAAAATAAAGTAAAATGGCACCCATGTCATGATACTTCGCGAAGTTTTAAAACCTTAGACTTGAACGAGTTTTAAGACCTTTTCCAATAAGAAATGAATGAATATTATTGTAACCCAAATTATTTTTTACGGTGCCACAAACATCCACCCTAAACCCTTTATAAGAAATATAATAGTAGATAGCTATATATGTTCACCTTTGTATGATAAGCTTGTTATCGTTTGAAATAACATCTGATCCGTAAATTTTTCGGGCAATAATAGAAGAGAACATCTCAAAGCGCTGCTCAAATTTTTTTCGTAAGCGTTTTTGAGCCTTATATCGGTGTCTGGAGGGTCTACATTCACTATCTAATTTATATTTAAAAAAATATTTATACCAAATATCTTATTGGGTAGCACCTCTTTTAGCAGGGTACGCAGGCGCACTTAGAAATTTAAGTCAAAAATTTATTTTATAAATGAAATTAGACGAAGGCCACATTTATCATTAAGTTAATACCGATCTTTCTTTTTAATTTTTACAAAAGAAAATTCAATTCAGGACTTTATACTACATTGGTATGGCCCAAAATAACGCTTTTTATCCAACCTTTTTTCGCCGATAGCGAAAGATTATTTTGCTAAACAAACATAGTAGCATTCTAAGAGAAAGAGATCTTACAACAAGGTCGTTGATATTTTTGACGAATAAGTCAAATTGGTTGATATCGACAACATTTAAAACATTTAGGAGTGTTGTTACCCGTTACTGATTAACGGTGCATATATGCACCACCTCCTATATACCTTATTTTAACATAGTAGTTTTTATTTTAAAAAATAATAAAAAGATTTTTATATAGTTCAGACATTGTACTTCAAAACTGGAAAAGAAAAATATGAAAAAAATATTTTTTTATGTCCCTAAGAAACCCTCAAACTTTGCGAATTTATGAGGTCTAAAATGCAAAATTTTCTAAGTGATCTCACAAGCATATTATAAAATTATTTCGATGAAAACTAGTGTGTATATATTCTTTATAGATATATCAATATTTATCAATCATTTTTGAATTTTTAAATAATTAAAATTTTAATAGATAACCACATAAAGTTGACTGGTGCATATATGCACTGTTAACCATCTAGCAGTATAAATTATTTAAAAAAATTCAAACAAATGAAATTTAACATAATGAATTATAATTTTTTATATTATACTTAAAACCACTACCGTCACTAAGAGTGGGAGGAGGAGGGGTGGGTGACTCGAGCCCCCTAAGAATTTATTTTTAAAAATTTTATACCCAAAAAAAGACCTTTTGAAAATAATTTAAAAATTTTTTTTAGCCTCCTGAGATTAAATCGAATAATATATTGCTCCTATTATAATTTTTTTATCCCGATCAAATTATATGAAATTATTAGGTTCATAAATATTCAAAAGTTTAAAATTATTTTTAGCCTCTTCCTTTCTGAAGATTTTATTTTATTTATATAAAATATTATGCACCTGTTTTGTCAATTCAATCAAAATTATCAAAATAATAGATGACTAATAAAAAAATCAAGATTCTACGAAAATAATTTGTCTAGATATTTAATTTTTAATAAATTTTTTTAATGAAACGTTTTCTAACAATTGAACAAGCGCTTGCTCAACTTTTTGAAGAGGAACCAATTGAAGAAAGAGATATGGTTATAATTCCGCCAAACCCCTCTGCAGTTAGTGATGAAGAAGATTTCGATGAAAATGACTTAACAAATGTCGGAGTTTTGCCTTCAGATACAGCTGGAGAATTGGAGATTCATAATTCAGTTGATGACGACCTTCCAGAACCATATTCTATCAAGAAGCTATTCTCGAATTTCTCACAATTTAAAATGGAGAAAAACGGATGCAATATATTCTTCAAGCCATTTCAATGGAGAAAAGGAAGATGTAATAAAACTTGAAAATGATTTACATGGTAAAAGTCCATCAGATATATTTTCTTTAATTTTCGACGAAGACTTATATTCGCTAATTGTAGAACAAAGTAATATTTATACTAAACAAATGAATAGACCTAACATATGCATAACCATCCAAGATATTCAGAGTTTTATTGGAATTCTATTATTTACTGGATATCATTCTCTCCCACAAGAAAGAATGTACTGGTCTAATGATAGCGATATTTCTATTCCAATAATCCGGGATACAATGACCCAATTACAATTTCGAAATTTGAAATATAATATCCATTTGGCAGACAATACTAAAATAGATATACATGATAGATTTTATAAAGTTAGGCCTTATATTAATATATTGAATAATAAATTTCAGCAATTTGGAATTTTCAAACATCATTTATCAATAGATGAACAGATGATACCATATCGAGGAAGACATTCTTGCAAAATGTTCATAAAAGGAAAACCAATTAGATTCGGATACAAGTCTTGGATATTGGCTTCTTCCGACGGTTACGTATTCTCATTTGATATATGAAAAAGCGAAAATAAATATGAATATGGATTAGGTGGAAATGTAATCATAAAATTATTAAAGGCATTGCAAAAACCAAATTATCATAAAATATATTTTGATAATTACTTTACATCATTTAAACTCTTGTCATACTTAAAACAAATGGGATATTTTGCAACTGGAACTGTGAGGGACAATAGAATAGAGCATTGCCCAGTTGAATCTATAAAGGTTGTAGCAAAAAAAGAAAGAGGATATTATGATTATAGGTTTGAAAAATTAAACGAAATATTTGTAGTTCGTTAGAATGATAATTGATAATTCGGTGGTGACCGTTGCATCGACATGCCACACTCTCTTTGCTTTCTAATGTTTCAAGGTATTCTAAGAAAATATCTTCTAAAATAAAAATTCCTCAGCCAAATATGGTAACTGCTTATAACAAACACATGGGTGGAGTTGATCTATGTGATAATCTAATATCTACATATAGAATAAAAATAAGAGGAAAAAAATGGTGGTGGCCAATATTCACCAATTTTATTGATGTAGCTTTGGTAAATTCATGGAAAATCTGGAAATTCGTGAATCGAGATGACAAGAAGAGTTTGCTTGCATTTAGACGAGAAGTTACTAACTACCTCCTTCGAACGCCAGTAAAAATTGAAAAAAATTCAAGTACAGGTCACGCCAGCCAGTTTGCATTACAGTGTGAAAACCCTATTGATTCATCTTGACATTATTTATCTAAAATTATAGATGGAAAAAGACGAAGATGCAGATATTGCCATACGCACTCAAGATATATGTGCCAAACATGTCAAATCGCACTCCATATTAAATGTTACAAGGATTTTCATAATATATAAACATTTTCTCGTTTTTATTATAAATTACAAAAAAAGAATAAAGATATTTGTTGTTTTTTGATCTTATAGTATTTTATATAATTTTTATCTTTTTTAACCTCTTAATGGTTAACGGTGCATATATGCACCAGGCTAGATTTTCTATTTAGGATTATTTTTTTTGGCTGATTTTTTTAGAATATCATATTTGAGCATTAATCAATATAATTTGAAAAAATTGAGCATTTTTATCCACTAGAAAAATCTTGACCATTAATGAGTTAAAGTGGTCGGTTTTATAAGACCTTTACCCCGTTTTCATTTTTTAATTATTCAAGAACACTTATTTTATAACAATAAAATAATACTAATATAAAACTTGCCAAATTCCTAAAAAAACGTATAAAATGAAAGATTAAAGTTTGTTCAAAATTTGTGCTCCCGGGTTCGAAATCGGGATTCAAAGTTTAAAAAATACGATTGATTTCTTGTTTTTGGGTGAAACATAAACTATAATTTAAATACCTCTATACAATTAATTATTCAAATTACAATGAGTATTAAGTAAGCCTGGAAATTTTTTTGACCTCTATTTGCCAAATCTCGAGGTATACCATGATATTATTTGGGCTAAAATTTTAATCGGGCCGTTTTTAAAAAATAGACCCAAATCGGGCTTTTTTTAGCAACACTAGTTAGCCATTTTTTAAAATTCGGCTCAAATCGATAGTATTGAAAAGGATGAGATATATATGCCGTTTTGGGATATGATGAAACTCACGGTAACTCGGAATTTCTCGATTTTATATTATTTATATTGATGGAGATTCTTAAATTTGAAAAAAAATTTCTGATTTACCCTGTGCAGCATGCGTAAAATACCTATCCTATAAAATTTCAGACAGTTTTCGGGCATAAACTATTGCCATTTTTTTTTATATAATGAAAAAATTTATATAAACTAAGCAAAATTGTTTGAAATTCAAAAGTGGGAATGCTTTAAATATGTTGGTGGTATACATTTACATAAGTGATTTTTAAATTTAAATAGATGGATCATAGAGGTATATATTTTCAAATCGTTTTTCTTTTAATATTTTAGATTTTCATACAATAGATACATATTTACTTATAAAATATTTTTTACAAAAATGATTTCGATTTAAAGGTAAAATTTGATCATTCTCAACTATACCATTTTTCAGACTTCAAAAATACTATCTATATATATAATCACCGTAATCAAGAAATGAAAGATTTAGTATATCCATAATATTAATTTTTATTTTTCTCATCAACTTTCCTATCTTCTTAATGTTAATTTTTAAATTATTTTTATAATTTTACTTGATAAAGTAAGAAATAATTTATAATTTTAAATTTAATAATATTCATTCTTATCATATTATTAGATTTTGAATTTGTTCAAATTCTTTATTACCAAGTGAAATCCAACTACCTTTTATATTAAAACGTCGTCAACTTCCTAATTCAGTGTCAACCCTTCGATCATGTAGGTTTATATTACGTGTTTTCTAATTCAGTGTCCTTCGATCATGTAGGTTTATATTACCTGTTTTATACCATGGAAAACTTAATGTCGGTTTAAGCAAATGTACCTCTCAAAAAATACTAAAGTTATGATTGTACCTACAAAATATGCTTAAATAATTAACGTAAGTAATTATTAAAATATCAATTCAAAAAATAAAAATATGTTTTATTTAGCCAATTAAAAATTAATAATTTGACTAACTACTTTATTATTAACACTCACAAATCATAATTAGTTTAGTTTAACTTATAAACATTAATTGATTTTAAATTTAATACAATAATATGGAGGCAAATTTCATAAAATAAATTTAAGTTACTACTTTCTTATTAACACTCACAAATCATAACTAATTTAATTTAACTTATAAACATTAATTGATTTTAAATTTAATAATATTCATTCTTACCATATTATTAGATTTTTAATATCTTCAAATTCAAATATTTCATTCTAATGTTTTCTCATAAAATATGGAGGAAAATTTTAT